CTACCTGAAGGTACCCTTTGTCTTTTATTTACTACTGAATCCCAAGCACGAATGGCTGGCTCACAGGAGTGCTCATTAAATACCCGTTAAATCAATAACTTGACAAGTGAGCCAAGAATAGAGCCATGCCACAGTGGGTGACCATTAAAGAATAGCTCACTGATTGCAGAGGCTAAAGAGTAAAGGAAAGTGAAAAAGTAAAAAAAGTAAAGATCATCTTTCAAGAAGCTTAGTTGGAAGAAGAAGAAATAAAGTGGTCAACAGTGGGAAGATTCAGGATAGGATCAATGGAAGTGTTATGCTTCAGCATTTTTAAGACTCAAGGAGAAAAATCCAATTTAAAAAATTTAACTCTGGTCCTGGCCAGTGTGGCTAAGTTAGTTGGGCATCATCCTGTGCACCTAGACGTTGCTGGTTCGATTCCCGGTCAGGGCACATGCCCAGGTTGTAGGCTAGATCCCTGGTGGGGGGGCATGCAGGAGGCAGCAGATCAATGTTCCGCTCTCACATCGATGATTCTCTCTCTCTCTCTCTCTCTCTCTCTTTCAAGGATCAATAAATAAACAAAAAAATTAACTCTGATTAGGAGCTTTACACGTATCAACTCTTTTAATCTTCACAACAATTCAATAATACAGAAAATATTATCTCCTTTCCATAGGTAAGGGATCAGAAATACTCTAGGAGTTTCTGAAGATCCCAGTAAAGCACCCCCGGAGAAAACATTCAGCTCTAACCAGGTGTCAGGTTCATTCTCTTACAAGAGAATAAAGCATTGGTACTAGAAAATGCAACAAAGAATGAGTTAAGAATAGGTTAGGGTGAGCCTCAGTTAGGAAAAGGATGCTTTGTTCTTTTATTTTATTTATTTATTTACTTACTTACTTACTTAATATATCTTTTTATTGATTTCAGAGAGGAAGGGAGAGGGAGAGAGAGATAGAAACATCAATGATGAGAGAGAATCATTGATCGGTTGCCTCCTGCACGCCCCATACTGGGGATCAAGCTTGCAACCTGGGCATATGCCCTGACCAGGAATCGAACCATGACCTCCTGGTTCCTAGGCCAGGCTCAACCACTGAGCCACACTGGCCAGTCACTTCATTCTTTTAGATTGGGGGAAAGGAATAAAGTTTGTATATCTGACAAACTCTTACTCATCCCTCAAAAATCAGCACAAGTTACCACCTACAGTGGGAAGTCTTCTTTAACATTTTGTTAAAGTGTGGATATATGAACAAGTTAGGGAGAGGCTAGGTCCAGGTAATAGTCATTTTTTGGACGGGTTAAGAGTGAGTGGGTAGAGACTAGGAATAGTCTTGAGGACAGGGATGAAAAAGGAAGAGCATAGCTATGGAGGTGAACAAATCCCAATTAACTGAGCAATCATGCCAATGACTCAGCTCAGAATCACCATAGATTAATACGAGGTTGGGGTTTTGCTAGGACAGCAGCACCAAGTCTCTGAGTCTTGATGAAATTAACTATAGGTTCCAGACTAGATATGAAAGGTGCCAGAAGTGAGCTGTAAACTGGAGACAGGGGATCAAGAGTCTGGCGATCAGAGTCATTGTGGTGAAAGATAGTGAAGAAGTTGTTTTATTTATAACAAAAGAGCAAATCAAAATGCCCTTCCCTGGGTTTATTGTCCTTGTGGCCCCTGCTTTCTTTAGTGCCTTGGAAATACCCTGCTGCCCTAGCCAACTTGGCTCAGTGGCTAGAGCAGGGGTGGGCAAACTTTTTGACTCAAGGGCCACAATGGGTTCTTAAACTGGACCAGAGGGCCGGAATAAAAGCATGGATGGAGTGTTTGTGTGAACTAATATAAATTCAAAGTAAACATCATTACATAAAAGGGTACGGTCTTTTTTTTTTTAGTTTTATTCATTTCAATTGGGCCGGATCCGGCCCGCGGGCCGTAGTTTGCCCAAGGCTGGGCTAGAGTGTCAGCCTGCGGACTGAAGGGTCCCAGGTTCGATTTCGGCCAAGGGCACATGCCTGGGTTTCCGGCTTGATTCCCAGTAGGGAATGTGCAGAATTCTCTCTCATCATTGATGTTTCTATTTCTCTCTCCTTCTCCCTTCCTCTCTGAAATCAATAAAGAAATATATTTTTTAAAAAAGAAAAGAAAGAAAATGCCCTGCTATGCCTGTTTCAGAGTGTTTATGCTTGCAATTCCCTTTCTGCAAAATGCATGTTTTTCAACAACTAATATAGCTGGCTCCCTCTCACCATTGGGGTCTCGGCTCAAATGTCACCTTCCCAGTCAACTTCCCTGACCACAAATGCTAAAGCAGAAGTCCACCATAACCTGTCCCTGCCATTGCCCTCTTATTTTCTTCATGGCACTTATCACTATGTGAAATCACATTGATTTATTTATTAACCTCTTTGATGTTGGTCTCCTTTATCCTGCTTACCACTGTATCCTCTGTACACAAACAGGGTGGCTTGTATGGGTACTCAACAGACACTTATTGAATGAATAAATGAACTGCGGAGCAAATGTAACACTAAAATACCATTGCCTTACTAGTCCCACAACGTGGGAAATATCCAGGTAGTAGGAAATGGCAGGGATTTTTCTCTCAAAAAGAGAATGTTGTTCACTACCCATGGGGGCAAGGGTAGGCAGATTATTCAGAACTCTGACTTACCGAAGAGCCACACTTCTTACCTAAAGGATATCACTTCCCTCTCAGTGGGTAACCTTGCAAAGAAAGATTTTAAAGCAGGGTAACTGCTTGCACCCAGACATGCCAAAAGACCACTCTTGGAAAAACTGTGCCTAAATTCCACTTTAAGCACTGTCAACACTGGGACCAAGACTTGTTCAACATTGCATTCCCAGCATCTAGTAGTTTCTAACCCAAGGGGATACCCAGAATGTTTGTTAAATAAGCACTTAAGACATGGTCTTCTGAGGAATGGCCATCCATCCCATCAACTCTTACGCTATGGATAAACTTATTTTAGAAACAGGGCAAGACAGCTAAGGAGCCTTTGGCCTAGGTCTCTCCCTGGGCAGCAGTTTGGTTCCTAGAATTCAATACTCATCCATCCTGTGCCACGGGTAATCAAGTATTACTTTCCCCCAGAGTCACCATGTATCAAATTGGTGCATACTTGGCCAATATAATGGTTAATACAGTATAGTAACCAATAATGGATTTCACTTGCCTCTTTAATTTTGTATATATATTTTGGTCAGCAAGGAAGGGTACCTCAAAATACTGAAAGAACTAAAATTGAAGAATTCCACCGTTAATTTTATATCCACCAGTGTGCGGCTCACCGTGGGACCTCAGGAAAATCACATCACCCTCTTGACTCTCAGTTTCATCAACAGTCATAATGTTCTTTATCCAAAGGGTAGTTCGGAGAAAATTAGTTAGCTAATACTTCGTTGTAATGTACTCTGAGGCCAATGCTTGAAAGATCCCATAAATCAAATTAATTATGAAACAAGGGAAACCTTAATTAAGCCCACTTCCAAAACCTGAGACTCTGAGGAGTGAGAAACATTTAAAATTATGCCTGTGGCTCTGACACTAACTCACTCTCACGCTAAGACATGTATTCTCAAAAAAAAAAAAACGATTCCTAACATTAACAACGGACCCTTACTATTCGGAAATGTCAACTGCCCTGGACTCTGGCAAGATTAACTTGACAAGTATAAAATGATGCAGTTCTAACGGTGACAAGCAATTGCAAAAGGACACCTGCGCCAACAGTTCACTGTTGCTGTCTCTGTGCCTCATCTCAGTGCGGTTTAGTTAACATTCAGGCCGCCTTACCAAACGCCAATCCATTAACCCAGTGGTTCTCAACCTTCTGGCTCTTTAAATACAGTTCCTCATGTTGTGACCCAACCATAAAATTATTTTCTTTTTTTTTTTTCCTCTAATATATTTTATTGATTTTTTTACAGAGAGGAAGGGAGAGAGATAGAGAGTTAGAAACATTGATGAGAGAGAAACATCGACCAGCTGCCTCCTGCACTTCTCCTGCTGGGGATGTGCCCCCAACCAAGGCACATGCCCTTGACCTGGATGGAACCTGGGACCTTTCAGTCCGCAGGCCGACGCTCTATCCACTGAGCCAAACCGGTCAGGGCCATAAAATTATTTTCGTGGCTACTTCATCACTGTAATGTTGCTGCAGTTATGAATCGTCATGTAAATATCTGATATGCAGGATGGTCTTAGGGGACTCCTGTGAAAGGGTCGTTCGACCGCCAAAGGGGTCGCGACCCACAGGTTGAGAACCGCTGCAGTAGCCTATTTCAGTGAGACCTGGTTTAACAGACTCTCGGTGCCGCTCAGCCCTCCCGCTGCCGACCCCCGCGGACACTCCGGCAAAACATCACAGCCACATCCAGCCGCAAGGTCCACGCCTTCCTCCCGCACGACTCCCGAACTTCCTTCCACTTTTAAAAGTACTTTAGTCCGCTTTTGTTTACTAAAAACTCTTAGCGAGACCGAGGAGAGACAGCGAGGGAACACTGACAAGTCGGTTCCTGGGCCAGCGGTGGGCACTGACATCAGGGGGCGAGCCAGTTGGTCCCGCTTGAGCCTCAATGAATGGAGCAAAGGTGACGAGGAAGGGAAGGGGGCGGCTCCCACCATCGCCTCTACCTGGGCCGCCTCTCCGTCCGGCCTGACACACGCCCCGCGGAGGGCAGGGGCCGGGTCGGGACACCCCCGCACCCCGGCCGGCCGCCGGCAGCCCCGGCGCACCTGAGCATCGCACCTGGGGCGCGGAGGCGGGGGGCCCGGCCGGCGGCGGGGCGAAGTCACCGCTCGCCTCTCCAAGCCGAAGTGAGGGCGACGCCTCCCACGGGGCCAGGAACCAGCAAGGTGCGGGGGCCGGCACGGAGGGTCGGCCCCCAAACCTCCAGCAACCCCGAGGGCCCCCGCTGCCTCCAGCCTCCTCAGGGAGGTGCGCAGGGGGGCGCGGAGGGGACAGCCAGGATGGCGGCGGCCGGTACTCACAGAGCCCACTGGAGCCGGTGCTGCTGAACATGGTCCCGCCGGACCCGGAGCCCCCGCGGGGGGACCAGGGGGAGGGGAAGCCGAGGTGGAGAGACTGGCGACCGCGCAGGCGCACTCCCGGCGGGGGCGGCGAATCCGGCCGCTGGATTCCACTCCGGGGGCCTGCTGCGTACAGCGCATGCGCGGCCCGTGGAGCGCTCCGCTCCGTCCTCCCCGCTCCCTTCCTGCCGGCGAGGGGAAGTGCGTCCGCAGAGCTTGGGTCCGCCTCTCCAGGTTTTCTCGATGGCTGTGGGCGCCCTTTGGAAAACGAACGGGATGGCGTGGGAGGGGCGAAGGTGTAACTCCCGGGAGCCGCCCACTAGTGCTCACCTCTGCCTTCCTGCCCGCCGGGTGGGTCCGCCAGGGCAGCGGGTTCCCCGTGACCTCTACCCTCGGCCTGGACGGGACGCCCGGGGTGTTCTGCGCATGCTCAGCCTTTCCTAGGAAGCTCCCCAAAGCTCTTCCAGTTCTCAATTATTTTTAAGTGTTCGAGTGACCCCAAGACCCAAAGGTTTGAGAACTGCTGTAATTGTTCATAAAGCGCTCTGAAGTTTTAAAAAGGCAAAGAAAAAAAAGACATTTATTCATGTTCAATTCTGCAAACATTCTTTCTTTTTCACTTTTTAAATTATTTAAATTATGGGGTGGGGCCACAACATTAGTAACAAAGAAACAGAATTTCCGGAGGATGAGGCCCAGAAATCAGGATTTTAAAAAGAGTCCCAGGTGATTCTAATGTGCAGCCAAAGTTGAGAACCACAGGACTAGATAGTGCCAAACCCTACCCCAGCCCTATTAAATCACCATTTAACAAGCCCCCCAGCTGACTTGTATGCACATTAGGTGTTTGAGAACCACTAGTACAGTGATTCTTAACAGGGAGCAATTTTGCCTACAGGGGACACACCAATGTTTGAAGATAGTTTGGTCTTGGGAGAGAGGGCTGCTATTGGTATCTAATGGGCAGAGGCCAGGGATGCTGCAAATATCCTGCAATACACAGGGCAGCCTCCCACAATGAAGAATTCTCTTACCCAGAAGGTCAACCTTACACTAGTGTAATTCATCCAACCTTTATCATGCAGCCCCGGATCTCTTAGTGTATGTCATTTTTATTGTCCTTACCTATAGGTCCACCTTGTCTTTTCTATAATTGTGTTATGAAGAATTAATCCTATCAGTTACTGGGAATCATCGTTTACCTTGCTGTGTCTTGTTGAATCTGCTTTCTACATTGAGGTAATAGTGGTAGCTTATAAGGGTGAATGAACCCTTAACAAGAAGGGAACGTGTCTTACAAAATGTATCCCATTTTTAGTTTCTTGGGGTGAAAGCATTGCCTTCCTTTAATAAAACAAAGCACAGCATCTCTAAGGTTTTGGCACAAGAAGAAAAATCTCCAGGTGAGTCCTGGGAGAAGGTTGCTGACCAACATGCTTGACAAGTGCCTTTCTTGTATATTTAACCCTTCCTTTAGCGCAGTGTTCCTTTCATATAGCAGAGATAGACTAGAATTTTTCCTAAACGTTACTAAGTAGTAGAGGGATCAACAACAACAAAAATAAGAATCACAAACATCCAAAGTATCGAGTTCTGAACAGATGACAGCTATTGTGCCTAAAGTTTATAGGCCACTTCCTTTTCCACATTCTGACTGAAGGCCTCCTTTCTAAAGTCCCAGGAATTCTATCAGCAATCTTTTAGACTAGGAATCAGTAGATAATGACTAGGGTTGATGGTCAATCCTTGGATAAAATAGCCTTCATACTGCTTCAAATGCACTTTCAGCATATAACATCTGTGAAACTAATATTTATGAGACAATAGGTCTGGAAGCTTTTTAAAGGGCAGTTACACATTTTTACTGATTCAATAATATTCATAATAGATGTTTACTGAACAGGGGACATTTTGGAAATTCTTGAGTAGTTTTGATTGTCACAATGAGTTGGGCGATACTACATGGTGTCTAGTGATGCCAGACACAATCCTTTTACAAAAATAGAATTGTTCTCTTTCCTAACCAGCTTTTGAGTCTCCCACCTTATGTTTCTTATGTACGTAATAGCCTGTTTATATTTGAGTCTAAAACCAATTCCATTTTATGTGTAAACATGTGTGCTTTGCAGAGTTTTAATTCACTCTGAATTTTCCAGGAATACAACTATTATACTATTTTAGTTATTTGGAACTTAAGAGTTGTTCACCAATTCAAAAAACCATACCATCTACATTAACACCGATCATTACATTTGACTCCCCAATATCAGTTTACATTGTGGCTGGTGCATTCTTAGTGATTCTACATCTTTCATAAAGATGTACTAATTTAGCCCTTATTTTTAAAATACTATATATAATGTTAAATATTAAGAAAAGGTGTTGAGCAATACCAACAACAAAAACAAATCCAATGAAAAATAGGCATACATCACATAAACAAATTGAAAGACAAAAATCACATGATCATATCAATAGATGCAGAAAAAGCATTCGACAAAATCCAACACCTATTTTTGATAAAAACTCTCAGCAGAATGAGAATAGAGGGAGCATATCTTAATATGATAAAGGCCATATATTGAAGCATGGTGGCAACCATGCTCGGTGGGAATTGCTGTCTAATATTTTAACCCTGTTGACTTGGCTTCTGTCATTACTTGCTTGCCAAAATAATAGAAAAGTTATTTTGATTTTCTGAATTATATAAATCAGCCCGTTCGATTGAATACCCTATTGATTGTAATTTGAATACCCCATTGGTTGTGGTCATACTGGTTTTAGAAAACACATTCCTCTGTACCTGGAGACCAGGACTGCATAATTACTCTAAATTGCCCCAGTGGCTCCAGATAATGTGTTTCCATTGACTCAGTGGTCCCAAGACCCAAAACTAAAATTAATCTTTGTAGATAACTAATCGACTCAATCTAGCTTCTGTAACAAACTGCTTTTTTGCAAACCAGGTTCCTCATTCCAAATCCCGAGATGTAGTCAATACCTTTGTGATTTTTGCCTATGTAAATCTGGTGTTGCAGTCATTTAACCACTACGAGATTTGGAGAGCACAATGCTCCCTCATAGTCCCAGGTTTGAAATAAATGTGACTCCTTAATTCGACTTCTTAAGGCGTCCTTGTGTGATTCGCGGGGTATATTACAACAATATGACAAACCTACAGTGAACATCACCCTCAATGTGCAAAAACCAAAACCATTTCCCCTAAGAACAGGAACAAGATAGGGATGTCTGCTTTCACCACTCTTATTCAACATAGTACTGGAAGTCCTAGCCACATTAATCAGACATGAAGAAGAAGAAATAAAAGGCATCTAAATTGGAAAGGAGGAAGTAAAACTCTCATTTGCAGATGATATTGGACATAGAATACCCCAAAGACTCCACCAAAAAAAAAAAAAACACGAATAGACTTAATAAATGCATTTGGCAGGGTAGCAGAATACAATATCAACACCCAAAGAACTGATGGCTTTTTTATATGCCAATAATGAAGTCTCAGAAAAAGAAATGAAATAAACAAATCCCATTTACCATTGCAACAAAAAAATTAAGAAACTTAGGAATAAACTTAACCAAGGAAGCAAAAGACTGTACTCCGAAAACTATAGGACATTGAAAAAAGAGATAGAAGAAGGTATAAACAAGTGGAAGAATATACTGTGTGCATTGACTGGCAAAATCAACATCACTAAAATGTCCATACTACCCAAGACAATCTACAGAGTCAATGTAATCCCTGTTAAAATACCAACAACATATTTCACATATCTGGAACAAATACTCCAAAAATTTATATGGAATCAAAAGAAAAACAAAGTTGAAGGAATCACAAAACCAGATTTCAAGTTATACTACAAAGCCACTGTAATCAAAACATACTGGCATAACAACAGGTATAGAGATCAATGCAACAAAATAGAGAACCCAGAAATCAACCCAAGCCATTATGCTCAATTAATATTTGACAAAGGAGGCCACAGCATACAATGGAGTCAAGAGAGTTTCTTCAATAAATGGTGTTGGGGAAATTGGACAGATACATGCAAAAAAAATGAAACTAGACCACCAACTTAAACCATACACAAAAATAAACTCAAAATGAATAAAAGACTTAAATGTAAGTTGTGAAACCATAAAAATCCCAGAAAAAAAACATAGGCAGCAAAATATCAGACATCTCTTGCAGCAATATGTTAACGAATGTATATCCTAGGGCAAAAGAAACTAAGGAGAAAATAAACAAATGGGACTACATCAAAAAAAGCTTCTGCACTGCAAAAGAAACCATTAACAAAACGAAAAGGGAGCCCACTGTATGGGAGGCAATGATACATCTGATAAAGGGTTAATATCCAAAATATATAAGGAACTCATACAACTTAACAAAAGGAAGACAAACAATCCAATTAAAAAATGGGCAAAGGGCCTAAATAGACACTTCTCCAAAGAGGACATACAGATGGCCAAGAGACATATGAAAAAATGCTCAAAGTCACTGATCATCAGAGACATGCAAATTAAAATGACAATGAGGTATCACCTCACACCTGTCAGAATGGCTACCATCAACAAATGATAAGTGCTAGTGAGGATGTGGAGAAAACGGAACCCTAGTACACTGATGGTGGGAATGCATACTGGTGCAGCCATTATGGAAAACAGTATGGAGTTTCCTCAAAAAATTAAATATGGAACTTCCATTTGACCCAGTGATCACACTTCTAGGAATATATCCTAAGAAACATCAGTCAGAAAGAATGTATGCACCCCTATGTTCATAGCAACACAATTTACAATAGCTAATATCTGGAAACAGCCCAAGTGCCTATAAGTAGATGAGTGGATAAAAAAAGCTGTGGTACATTTATACCATGGGATACTATGCAGCAGTAAAAAGAAGAATCTCTTACCCTTCGAGACAGCATGGAAGGATCTGGAGAGTTTCATGCTAAGTGAAATAAGTCAGTCAGTGAAAGACAAGTATCACATGATTGCACACATATGTGGAATCTAAGTAACAAAGTAAACTGATGAATGGAGTAGATCCAGAGACATGGAGTCATGGAACAGAGTGTGGAATCTCGGAGGGAAGGCGGGAGAGGATGGGTGGGTGGGAGGTAATCAACCAAGGATCTTGCATGCATATATGCATAGCCCATGGACA